TTGAATAAAGACCGGATTTCTTTTTTTCTTTCTATAAGGAAAGAAAAAAGAAACATATATATATATTGATATTTTTTCTCCCTGAGTACATAACTATATACTATATATATATATAGTTATGTATATATAGATGTTATAATGTGATATTATTTTAGACTATATTGTAATTTTAGATTTCATGCATCCTACTTTTCCAACATTGACCAGCATCTGTGAAGATACTTTGAATTCAGCTAATATTGAAAACTATGAATTAAAACCATTTAATCGACAATTAATAAATGAAGAATATTTAAATAAAATTTCAATAAATAATGATGAAAATGTAGATCTTTCAGCATTATATTGTCCAACAACAAATTATAAACAATTATTTCGTTTATCACATTTACATGTTGCACATCCATCACGATCTTCACTTTGGTTTCATCTTCTTCGTCAAGATAAAACACGTCATCAACATAAATTTCAACAAGCTGTTGAACGTTATCCAGAAGATATACGGTATGTTTTACTAATAAGATACGCACTCAACCGTAAAATATGTATGGCGAACGTACTTCGCCATGGTATAGTCTACACAAGTCCTAATCGTACATTTTTCTTTACGCAATTACTATTACCTTAAAATAGGTCATTTGTAACAAACGAGTATAATGATGAAAAGCACTTAAAGATCTTAAAATAAATGCAAATAGTGATGTGCAATATGTATCTTTTTCAAATATTTAATATAAAATGTTGTTAGCATCCAATTAAGCTTCTTCATTCTCCTCCGCCATCCCCCTCTCAAAAAAAAAATTTTTTTTTCGGTTGTGAAATTTTTTATTTCTCAAGATGTTTTACAATGTCTGCTAATAAAAACAGTCGATGATTTTCTAGTGCTAGTCTTAGGCATTTATTGATGATGATAGAGTTATATATCGTCTAGTTGGAATGACTCTGGGCCCGACTAGATGTGGATTAGAATCTGGTTACCCACCAAATATACTAGATCCGACAGACTCTTGTGAAAATTTCTCTTCATTTGGAACTATTTGAAAGGTGCCCATAGAATAAACAAACTAACTACTGACCTTGAAATCTGTAACATATTCAATTAAAGATTCTTTCACCATACGGAAGTGTTAATATTATTTGATGAATATTTCTTTGAAATAACACTTTAGGTGTGTATTCAATGTGCAACATTAGATAGCTTGTAATGACGCAGAATGAATAATAGAGGACACGGGTACACATTAAAATACTAAAATTTTACCTGATTGTGTGTTTTCAAAATTAATTTTTGAATAAAAACGAAGAAAATTCTTATATTTTTTTCTCTCATAAAGTAGAGCCAAAGACACTTTTATAGTTAGTTTGATCGAATCCAAGTGTGTGTGTGTGTTTTCGACAACCTTGAAGAAATGAGTTTCATTGAAAAAAAAATACATTTTTTTCATAGTGCTCCTCCTACCAAGTATTGTGCTTTTCAAAGATAATGTACTCCGATTTGATCCTAAGCTTCGAAAAGGACGTGTAAATTTTTGCAAGGATTTGAAGAAAGTTTCAAAATTTAATTTTCAGATATCATTTAATAATCAATAAGAATTTAAGTTATTTTTCAAATGTAAAGAACGAAGTTTGAAAGTTATCTCTTTGTATCATTATTTTCATGTAATTAAAACAGGATGAAAATCATTTGTAATGCGAACAAAGGTGTAATATCAATATCAAAAGGATTTCGATTTATAATTCATTAGGATTTCAAAAAGAAAACGAAATTATTTTTGAAAGACTAGCTTGAATTAATAATCTATGAAATCAATTTTTCTTTTTTTATAGATGAATTATTATGGACATATTTTATTGAACGGTTGTACAAGTTTATCGTACTATTCTCCGATTTTTCAAAGAAGAAAAATATTGTTTATTATTAAAAATCTGTTATCCCTCTATGTAATTCATCTATAAAGAAAATTCAAAAAAAAGAGATGATTCTATGGCATATATTTATTCAAGAAATTTCTTTTGAACATAATTGTTTTTGGTGATTTTTGATAGAGTTACTAAATATTCGATCCAAATTTATATCCAACAGTGTTCCCTTATTTCTACTTTCTACTATCGAAAGTCATAGATTGTTAAGAGGTACTGTTTTTTTTTCTTTTTTTGATTTATTCAATTTTTAACTGATTACCTTTAAATCTATTGTTAACATAATTTTTCTTTAAATAAAATTTGTTCGATTTATTTTTCTTTAGAAATATGTTCGGTCGTCGAAATGATATAACTGTTCGTCTTCCATCATGTGTTGATGCTAATCATTTACCTCATTATCATTTAAATCGAAGAGGTCAACATGCTGTAACTCGAATATTAAGTGTATTTGCTTATTATCATCCTGATATAACATGGGCACCATTACTTGCACCAATAACAGCTTTATTTTTACATTATATGACAGAAATTGATGCATATGAATCATTATTGATTCTAACAAGTAATGATTATAAAATAATAACTCAAACAGAAATTCAATATCAATCATTATCATTAGCATTTCGTTCAATATTACGTCGACGTTGCCGTTCAGTTTATGAATATCTTAATAGACAATCTCAACAACCATGTCTATTTGATGAATGGCTTTGGATTATATTTGAACATTTACCATTTACATATCTTGTACCAATAATTGATTGTCTTTTAATTGAAGATATGAAAATTCTTATACGTATAAGTATGACATTATTTCATTTTTTTGTTAAATATGGTTCAAATCAACAAACATTACCAATAAAACCTCGACGACGTGATTCAATATTTCGTTTATCAATTTCTACACGTAAATCAGTACGTTGTGATAATCAACTATCATCATCATCATCAACATCATCATATAAAACAAATACAAATGTTTATGAAAATTTAATTAATTATATACAACATTTTGATTTACCAATGGAGAAATTTTTTAAACATGCTTTTGGTATTTCTCATTTACAACGAAAAGAAATTTTTCGAGCTATTGAGGTATGATTAAATATATTCGTTAACATGAAACAAATTGAATCTTTTCAATATATATGTATAGATTTTATATTTTTCGTAATAATTTTTACTGTATGAATCTTAAAAGATATGTAGATATAGACACTAGATAATTTTATTAAATAATTGATAAACGGACCTAAGTAGATTTGTATACAATGGAATGAATTATCCAAATACTGAAGGACTATAAATATCCTCACAGAAAATTAGTACTGTTCATAAATAATTGAAACTGAACTTGATCGAATTTTCGAATTCGTTCATAATTACTTATATCTCTCTTAAGAAACCCTCTATATAAAAAAATGAATAGTAGAGACTGTCTTTTTCTTTTTGACATTGCTTCCTCTATATAAATTCATGAGAACTGTTAGTTTTTTGCATTAATGTAAGTAAAGATATGCAAGATAAGTATATTTTCGATGAGATAATTCATTTTTATTGTAGTCACAATTAATAAAGGAGAGAGGTAAGTTTTTATTCTGAAGCATAAAATGAAAAATTTATATTTGAATTGGTTTGAATGTGGTTATAGAGAAGAACCATACCGAGAATTAGCAATAAACACTCGAAATTTCTTGATGATTATCTTTTGTTTTGACAAATTTTTAATTATACTTTTACTATTTTAATTAGATTGAAGAAGAAAAAATAAAATTAGAACGTCGTCGTGTAATGCCACTTCTTCGTCGTTCATCATCTGCAGGTGATCAACCAGCATTAAATCTTACATCAATTCCAAAATCTCTTATAAATCGTCCAATTCATCATCAAAATTCTATGCCAATAATAATGATTCGTGAATTTGATACAACAACTGCAAGTCATTCAGATTTTGCTTATCTTTGGTCATTAATTCCAGGTCGTCTTACTGATTTTCAACCTGAACGTATTTATTCATCAAATATTCATGGTCGTCGTCTACAAACTTTATATGATCATGTTGAATATCATGAATATTGTCTTATTATTATACGTAATGAAAATCAACAAATTTTCGGAGGTTTTTGTTCAGGCCAATTAGCAAATCGTACAAAAACACGAACATGGTTTGGTACAGGTGAATCATTTTTATTTACATTAAAACCAGAACGACAAGTATTTAGATGGATTGGTTGTCAATCATCAACAAAAGGTAGTACAAAAGCATATGAAGATTATTTTATATATGGTGATGATGAACGTTTATTATTGGGTGGTAGTAAAGAACCACTTAATATTGGTTTATGTATTCAACGTGATTTAAATGAAGGTAGTACAAGACAATGTGATACATATGCTAATAAACCATTATCAAGCAACGAACATTTTCAAATAATGGAAATTGAAGTATTTGGATTTACGCGATAAATCAATTTGTTTAGGATGTTTTATTTTATACAATGTATGTTTAAAAAAAATACATCGCCGAGTGACGATAGTGTTATTTATTGTATAAATGTGAAAGAGAACAATAATAAATAGAAAACAAAGAACCTGTCTCTTGCATTGTATTATTGTGTGAATTTATCAGATTTTTTTCTTTTTTTTTTTGATTTTTTTTACTATGAAATACTTGAGTCATTTTAGAAGATGATTCAGGTAAGATATGTGAAGCGTTCATTCTTAAATATTTTTGTATATAAAGAAAATAGATAAAACAAATGTATTTGAAATCATCTTTCTTTTATGATTCTTACAAGATCATTCGTATATGGAATTCATGCATTTTTTTTAAACTTCAGTATGCTAATACAAAATCTATTAAATGAAAAAATTTCTAGTAGATATACTAGGTCTGCCCAAAAGTTCTGGTAACGCTATTGGCAATTTCATAAACCAATTAATAGTGAGAAGGTTTCTTGCATGAATAAATAGTAGAATGTCTTGTCTATAATGATATATATACTAACTCTATTTTAGACTTAGTTACAATACTTTTTCAGATAAGCTTTAATTCGAGCTGAAAAAAAATTTTTTAAATGGCTAATGAATTCGATCGATACTATATTAAAATTCGAACTATTTTGGGAATTGATGCAAAGACAATTCACGAAGAACTTACAACAGCATTAGAACCTAACGCTCCATCATATCGTACAGTCGCCAGGTGGGCAAACCGTTTTCGTGAAGGGAAAGAGGATGTCAATGATGATCCTCGATCTGGTCGTCCAGTATCCGAACTTACAGATGAAAATATTGAACTAGTTCGACAAGTTATCAACAATGATCCACATTCAACTTATGATGAAATTATAGTTGAGACATCCAAGGGGAAAAAAGCGGATCCTGGATCCTCGGATCCTGGTGGATCCTGGTGAATCTTGATGGATCCTGATGAATTGTAGAATAAATTATTTCAAGCGTACAGAAACAGGGATGGAAAAGTTGATCTTAATGGACATGAGAATTCTTTAAGATCCAAATAAATTAAGTGAGAAAATGGAATAGTGACTTCAGAATTTGTAACTAAGTAAAGAGAAAAAAAGATCCAGGATACCGAGATGATTATGTCTTGGTAAATTTTGGCATATCATCATGGATTCTGCGTATTTTTTGGATCCATCAAGATTTACGCTTCCTCGATCGGTTTGATATTATTGTAATACATGATGATTTCTATTGCATTCTAGTTATCTCTGATAAATTGTAATGGATTGTGTTGAATTATAGCCAATGGCGGTAATCTGTGACCGCTTTTGGTACACTTCTAGAAATATATTCTAAAATCTCTTAGGACTCTAGAATCCGCTTTTCTCCGTCAAAATAAGGATGTCAGAACTTAGAGCAACGCTCTACTTTATTCTTAATCCTGTTTTTCCTTGAGAAAGTGTGAAAGAACATTTTAAGCTCCTGAATCTGAAGATTCATGTCATATTTTTTTCAGGATTCCGTTTTCAATTTTAATAATACTGGTTTGCAGGATATTTCATTGTGAAAAAAATATTCTTCTCAGGATCTTTTCAAGTTCTCACTCAGATTTCTTTATTATTTTTACATGATGGACCATACTAGGATTCACTCTTGACCTTACTCAAAACCTTGATAGGGATTACAGAAAGAATATCGCTTAGATTCTATTATAGTTTTAACAGAATTCGTTTGGGATCTCTGCGGCATGGTCCTCTCCTGCTTACAGTTAAATAAGGCAAAGATCCTACAAGGAATTAATAGAAGAGCAATGAAAATCCTCAGGTAGTGGATTCTTCTAAGATTCAATCACGATTCTATCTAATTTTCTTAAGCATTCTTCTTACGAATATCTTTTCTGAACATTTTCAGGGTTGTCTTAGGGTCTCTTCAAGGACAAGCATTTCGGATCCTTCCTAGAGAAGGTCAAGGATGGCCAGGATCTTTCTGAAAGCATATCAAGATTAGACGAAGATCTTTACCATTTTCATTTAGAGTCTACTAAAGCTTGATCTTGAGGATTGTAACAAGATCTATGACTGATCTGGTTCAGGATTTTGAATAAAATTATAAAATGTTTCCACCAAAATCCTTAACAGTTCCTATTTAAGATTCTTCGAATATTTTTGAATCTCAAAAACTCAAATTGTGCTTGTTAAATAAACTTTTAACAGTAACTATACTAAAATGACAATGAGAAATTTGCAATGTGTTTTGTTCCGGTTCTGACAGGAATGTAGAAGATCAAGAAGGTACCTGAATTTCATTCTAATATTCCTTTGTTTCTATTTGCCAGTGAATGGAAGAATTCTGACATGATTTTTGAAGATTCCTCGTCAAAGATTTTTAATATTTATCTTCAATATTGCATGACACTTAAAGCATGGAACTCAGTTATTTTTTGAATTTTATTTTCATATAAAACTTGCAAACTCATTAAAATGGAGATTTTAATATCAGTTAACTGTTGCACTAACTTTTTCTTAAAAAAAGCTTTTAGTAAAGGACGAGTACTTCAATAAAACTTGTACTGGATTTTATTTGTTCGTGCTAATCAGAAAAATACCTTTTTATTCAAATTGAAATCAACCAGTCATAGTAAAATTTTATGATAAGTAATCAATAGATTAAGTTTATATTGAATTTTTGTTCAAATAACTTATGTTTGCATAAAGTTCAAATACAAGTTAATAGTGCAGAGGGAATTCGAGATACAGAAGGTTTGCGTTAAATTAAATAGTATGGTACAGTCTACTGCGGTGAACTAATCAGTTTTTTAACTGAACATATAGAAATCAATAATCTGCGTTCATTTCTCTTTTCTGCTTAGAGAATCCTGCAAAAATTTTGACAATACATCGGATATCATCCTTACAGAATCGAAGTGGAGTTCTGCGAGGTGCATTCAGAAAATATTTTCCAATTAGAAGCTATTGAAATTCTGAGAAGAGCTTGACATAAAGTCAATACAAAATGACTCAGAATTTCTCTAAGATTTTGTTCTAATCATAACAGAATCGTGTTTATTTCGTGCCTACACGTTTTTCTGAGGATTTGACCCTCTATTAACATATTTCTTGTTTTAATTGCATTGGTAAACTGCTCAGGATACTGATAGAATCTTGTTATGAACCTTGTCGAGGTCTTGAAATTCCGTGGCTACACGGCTTTCTCAAGATTTAGCAGCTTCTTCGACGATATATGATTGGGAAATAGCAATAAACTGTTACGATCTTGATTGAATCTCAATTAAAATTCTGTCGGCATCTTAAAATTTTATGGGTACACACTTTTTTCCGTTTTTCGCATTTTCCCCGGAAAAAATGGTGAACCTGTGCAGCGCCGTTGCTGCCTATGTCAGAAATCTAGCTCAAAAAGACTTGAGCTTTCTCTAGCATAAATTCAACACTATCTAGTACAATCTTTTGAAATCCAGAAGAATTCAGCAGAAATTAACAAGCATCATAATAATCTGAAACCAATCAGGAACACCTAAATCTTGATGGATCTTATTCTATTGTATAAACCGCAGAACTCATTCAGATACTCAAAAGTTCATTGGGGCCCACCAGGCTCTCAATCTCCGAGATTTCTTTTTTCTTTGTTTTCAAAAATTCTAGAGCCAATTCTTCGTCTGTTTACTTTGTTTCCATATATTCTAATGGCTTCGGATGGAGTCCAATAGATCGTGGGATGTCTCAAGGTCCGTTTTTCCTTTGTAAAGTAGACTAGTCATAGTTGTATAAATAGCACATGGTGCTCCCATAGATTCATCCAGAACATATTTTGAATTATGCATCCTTATTTTATGAATCTGGTTGATTTCCTTGCTTTTGTGGCTATTCAGAACGTTAATCTATCTTCATAAATGATAATGAGTTCTAATGGATTCTGGTGGATCCTGATGGATCCTAATGGATCCTGGCGGATCCTAACGGATCCCAGGATCCACCAGGATCCGATTTTTCCCCCTTGGAGACATTTCTCTCTCATGGCACAATAGAACGAATTATCCACGACTGTCTCAAGATGAAAAAAGTTACATCTCGTTGGGTCCCCATCAACTGACTGATGAACAAAACCAACAAAGAGTTCAACTTTGTCGTGAAAATTTAACGAAATTTCAAGATGGTTCCTGACGATTATGTGATATTATAACAGGTGATGAGACATGGATTTATCATAGGCAGATTCATCACAAGTCAACAAACGCAACCTGGATTGATGAAGGTGAATCACCAACTACTATCGTTCGTCGAAGCAAATTTGAACCAAAAAATTTATTTTGTATATTCTTTAAATCAAATGGTCCTGCTCTTATACATGATGTTGATGAAGGCAAGACAATAGATCACAACTATTATATTGAAAATTGCCTCAAGCCTGTTGTCAAGGAAATATGGAAACAAAGAAAGTCAGCAGGTACAAAAGGTATAAAATTGCTTCACGACAATGCGGGACCTCATCGTCATTCTGATGCTATTAATTATTTAGCAGAAGAACGTATCAATATAATGCCGCATCCACCATATTCATCTGACCTTGCATCATGTGATTATTGGTTAAATGATTACATCAAGTATAATTTATCTGACCAACCAAATGAAAAATCATTGGCTCGTGCGGTATCCAAGGTGGTCAAAAATATTCCAGAAGAGTTTAAAAATACTTTCGACAAACTATTAAAAAGGATGGAACTTTGTATAAATAATCATGGCGACTATTTCGAACATTTAATAAAATAAAATGAAAAATATCTCTCTATTTTCTTATTTTTTTTAATGTTGTCAGAACTTTTGCTCAGACCTAGTAGTTGTTTTAGAACAATAATCAATTGCTAGGAAAATATCGAAAATGAAATTTTTTTTGACTCTTAAAATAAAAGGAAAAATTTTATTGAAAAGTATAAAAAAAAATTACATAATACAAGGTAAATTACAAGCAAATATTTATCTTATTTCTTTTGTCCTTCAATCAATAAAGTTCATCGTGTTAGCAATGGTTTCAAATTTATTTCACCGTTTTGAAATCGAATATGCAATGTTATACATGTAACTTCAAAAGAATAAAAAAAAAAAAGATTTTTTTTTTACAGGATAGTCTTTCGTCAATAAAACTGAAGTCAATCAAGGCTAATGATGAAAGGAAAAGATTAATAAGTAAAATATGTCGAAAAGAAGATAAAACAAAAATTGACTTCTTAAAAATCATTTTTTGAAAATTATTCTGTATTGCGTCTAAATCTGTTAAATGAGAACATGACTGAGCTGTTTTAATTATATAAATAAATCTAAATACATTAGCTTTATCATTTGTAAATGGTCACGTCGAGTTAACTGCTTGAACAGCAAATAAAAGAGTGTGTGTGTGTGATATCGAATTACAGATAATATCTGTAAGCATGTTTAGTCAAATAGAGTCTGAAAGACAAGAAAAAAAAATGAACAGTTAATGTTCATCATATATACATTTCATTCATCGAATAAAATATGTGTAAAGTTCATCAACTTCTTATTTTTCTTTGCTTTTTATTGACTTTAACGAATTCTGCAAATATTTCTTCGTGTATTCCTAATACACCTTGCAAATGTTTTTTAACTGAAAATTCATTTACACTTATCAATTGTTTACATTCATTACCAGATTTACCAATATTTAGTTCGACTATTTCAATAAATATAACAAAAATTATTGCAACATATGCTTTAATTCGTTGGCCATTACATTTATGTACATATTCAAATATTGAAATACTTGATTTAAGTGGTTCATATTTTAACTCTCAATATATTGATTTATCATGTTTATCACAATTGATTCATTTAAATTTAAGTAATACACAAATAAAAAAAATTCCAAATTTTGAAAAATATTCATTAAAATATTTACAAATACTTGATATATCAAATAATCAAATAGAAATTCTTGATAGTAGTCTTTTTCGTTCATTAGATAATTTAACAATATTAATTATAGAAAATAATCCATTAAAAACAATTGATTATTTCGAATATTTACTTAGTTTATCACGTCTTAAATTTATTAATTTAATATCATCAAGTTCAATTATGTCTATAAAAAATTCATTAACCGTAACACAATGGATTGATCTTGCACATCAATGGAATAATTCAAATAAAACATTTGTTATTCGTACAAATACATTTTCATTACAATCAATTTTACCAAATTCTGATCAATTTCAAATGATTTCATTAGATTTAATGAAAATTATTTTAAAAACATTATCAAATTCAACATTTACAACTTTATTTTCTACACCAAAATGTAATTGTGCTCAACTTCGAAATTATCAACGTATATTTTCGTTTAATAATTATCATAGAAATTTATCATCATTATTTCAATCAACAACTTGTCTTATGCCAAATGGAATTATTCATGCACGTTTATTTGATCATCGAACATTTACTGATTTAAATTGTTCTTTAATGGGAAAAAACATTCGTTATCCTAGTAGTATTCAAAATTCATGTTCATTTTTAGATTATAATCTATTTATTCATTTTTTTACATTTTATGTGTTTTTATTTTATCAAAAATAGGGATTAAAAAAATTATTAAAGGGGCCATTATAACCATAGGTTTGTCCATATGATTGATACGGAGAAAATGAGGGCGGTGGAGGAAATTGGTTATTAAAAAAATTTGGACCATTATTCATAAATTGACCAAAACCTGGATAACCACCACGAAAATTAACTAAAATTAACAAGATAATTCAGTGAATACTTGTTTTTTTAATACTTACAATAATTGTCTTCTCGCAATTGATCATAAGGTGAATGGGGAAAATTTTCACCACCGGAATAGCCTAATAATAACAACAGTTTTTGTTTAATAATATTATTTCAAATATTTACCTCTGAATGGCTCACGGTGTCTATCATCAACATTATTTTGCCACTGATTATATCCTAATAGTAAATCCAAATTACAGATTAAAAATAGAACATAATTAACAAACCTCCATAATCTTGATATTGATTCCAAGGGCGATCAAAGCCACCACCTCGTCGATCATAATCATATCTATCATCACCATCATCATCAGAATCATTATTTTCATCAAAAGTTTCAATAATTTCATCATTATCATCAAAACTATCATTAAATTCACGATTTCTACCAGCAAGTATATAATCAGTCATATCATAAGTATCCCAATTTTCTCGACCAAAATTATCGGTAGCTAATTGACGAATAGTCCATATATCAAAACATAAGCTAGGATTTGTTAAATATTGATACGGAATATAACAATATCCATTATCACCCTAAAATATTTTCTTGTTTATAGTGTTCTTTCAGAATGGGAATGTAATATAGCACTTACCCAATTTTCTCCCCATGAATTTCGTGCAATAAACGCTTTTGATTGATCACTATAGCCAACAGCTAATAATGCATGACTATCAACAAAAAAAAACAAAAACAAAAAAGTGAAATCTCTTTCTTGAATAACAATTCTAAATATCAACCTTGCATTTTGTTTTCGTCTATTTTCTCCTGTTTTTGGTATTGGTACAACACCTGTTGTAGCTGCTTTATCAAATGAAGCATATAATCTCAAACCAAATGCAAATGGAAAACCTTGTGCAAGACAAGATTTCATTTCATATAAGTTAACATTAATTCGAAATGCTTCTGTAATTCGATGATTTCTAGCTTCTCTATAAGCTTTTTCATGTGGTCGTGTATTGACTCGAGAAAGATCATATGGCCAAGTTGATTCAAGACAAGTACCAAATTCTTCTAATGCCTCAATAGCACTTGTCATTGTACAACCTGTATCTACAACTTTTTCTGTTTTTTGATCTTTTACACGAGCATTATAGTAAATAAATAAACGGCTAACATCAGTATCAAGACCGTTAGCTTTCTTTGTTAAATATTCATAAGCTCCTAAAAATAAATGGTATCAGTACATATTGAGAAGGAAATCATTTTCTCACCAGCAAGACAATTAGCTGCACTAAATAAATAAATAAAAAATAAAATTATTATTTATATGTTAAAGATTTCTTTACCAACTGCCAGTTTTTGATTGATCTTCAACAGGCGTCATATAGGATCGAAGATCAACTTTTGGTGGAAGTTGATCAGCTGCATAGAGTATATGATCACAAAAAGCTTGACATAATTCTCTTTTCTTTGGCAAACGTGATGATGGTACAAGACCATTAAGACGAAATCTTTTTGATTTAAGTTTATTAGTCAAAAAGGTTTTTAATGGCATTGTATTCTTAACTTTTAATTAATCGATTTTAAATCAAAACTAGAAGAAAAAAAATCAATACAAATATATACTATTGAATTACTATTGTTCATCTTTATTATTACTTACACTAATTATAATATTTATTCTAAATAATACAACACAGTTTTTCGATTTATATAGCATACAATATATTAATAGGTTGTCTTAGATTGACTCATTCATATGCAGAGGTGTATATCACTAGTGTTTATTTTTCTCTTTTCAACCGAAACAATATTATTCATATTTTTGCGCTAAGTAACATAGGACATTTTTATACTGATTAGAAATCAATACTTAAGAAAAAAGTATAGTGATTCATAAAGAATGTGACTGTTATTTACAAAAATGAATTATCAATAATTGAATAAACAAGCTTAATACAAATTTAGACTTACTCATCATGACCTTCTGCAAAGTTAAATATTTTTTTTATAGCAAACATTATCAAAATTATATCAAAACGATAGACTACCGTATGAGTGTATTACTATAGACGTTTTACAGGTAATGATTCAAATGAGTAAGAATATATTAATAAGGTGTTTAGAAAAGATAACTTCGAATCGACGAAATCGATAAATGATAATGATAAAGGAACTAAGAAAAAAAAACTTAGAGTTCTCTTTGTTTCTAACCGTCTTACTAATATATTCTTAGTCGTTTGAATCATCACCTATAAAATACTAGTAGTGATTCACAAATATAAAAGAGCAATCGAATTAAATTACAAAAATTATAATGCATACTGTCCGTAAAATTATTTCAATAAATTCATCTTAACGCAAATCATGGTCATCTTTTGTAAAATTTTTCTCCACTATAGTTTGATAGAATACTACCCAGTCACTTATAACTATCTTCTAAGTAATAATTCATATTATAAATACATTTAATAGTATATAAAAATAATACGTATTAATTGAATACATGATCGAAAAAAATCATCTTTTTTATTACACAAAACCGAGAAACTGTATTGTCACGGGCATATATAAGGCAATAGTTGATTATAAATTTTAAAACTACTAATATCTGTATCTCTTTCTTCCTCTACACCGATTTACGAGTGTGTGGGTGACACTTATCATTCATATTCGTTGTTTTTCATCTTATCATACTATTATGTATATAAATATATATCAAGATGATTGTTTGAAAATATTCAATAATTCAAGATAACGCGTCCTAAGTTGCATATACACATCTCAATAATCTTTTAAACTATTAGAATCAGTAAATCAAACAGCTGCAAACAATGGAATTACGTAGAAACTAAAAAAACCTTTTTAATAATTATACGAGAACATGGATTATGCTTTAGCTAAATTTACTAGAAGAAAATAAATCAACAGTTGAATCTGCCTTTACGTCAACATAGCTGTACTTTTCATCAAAATTTGAGCCAATTTTAGAACCAAAAATATAGTGATGAAAGTTACTCATACTTCATTATCAGTCTATGAGGAGAGGAGTACAAGAACACCCGCATATATCTTTTATTTTTACTTTTTTGTCACTGAAGATTAAATATCCTGAGAAATGGTCAATGTACACCTTGTCGTTACATGGTACCACTGCAAAAATTAGAAGGACTACGGATAATTTAGGAACTGATATTCATTTTTTTTCATACAACTAAAAGTATTGATCTAGATTTGGAAAAGGAGAAAGAAAATCTTCAGTAACTGTCTATCAATTATATTGCATTATTATATAAACATCGATTATAAAAATATACGTTTTATAGAAACATTGAGAAAATTTTCAAACTTTTATATAACTTCACATATTCTAGACTGAGAACTAAATATTTCAACATCTACTTTAAATTCACAAGTTTTTATGTATTTTGCATCTTGAGGTGGTTTCTTTTTTCACTAATCAATATGCGATTGACCTTTGTTGTTTTTTCTTATTCCTTTTTATTTATTTTAAAAGATAACACATAATCGATATATATGAATTATGTTCAAAAGAGTTTATCATATAGAAAAAGTTTTATACTCGTACTTCAATTAAATTATTTTTAATGGAAGTTGCATTACTAATAGTCGAATATTTGCTTTTGCTTTGTCGACGATGATGACGTGTTGCTAGTTTATATTGGACTATTGGTGTAATATGATCATTCTTTGTTAAGTCATAAAATAAATCAGGAGTTGATGATGAATCAATGCTCAGTAATTGTTGACGAAGACCAAATTCAAGCAGAAGGAAACGAATCATAGCAACACGAATAATAGAACAAATGATCCATATCAGTAGTACACTAACGAAAAGACTAGCAAGAGCAATTCCAACAATAGCACTTATAGACAATGAACTTGTCAATCGAACGGCTCTGGTTGATGTCATTGTTGAGGTACTTGTTGATGTAGTTGTAGTCGATGTACCTATTGTTCGACGTGTTGGTGTCTTTAAACACATACATAATTTTATATTAGAAATAAATTATATTTTCTCTTTCTATCATTATTTAAAATGAAGCTTTTATGGGTTGTAATAATTTACTACACATTCAACATTACCCTATCAATCGAACATCTATTAAATTGATAATGAGTTTGGAAAAGTATTAACAGAATGAGATCTTTCACAAAAATATTCATTACTTAGTTAATGATGCTTTCTTATATAAAACTTCGCTTCTAAAACATCAATTTTACAATCTAGTTTTCTACTCACACAAAATATATTTTCTAATGAATGACAACAAGTATAACTTAAAACTATATTTACTGTTCGTGCTGTCGTTGTTGATGATACAGATGTTGTTGTTGTTGAAGCTAGAAATAGTGTGTTCGTTCACATTTATTTTATTACAACATAAATGATATAATTACTTGTGCTTGTTGTAGTCGTCTCATATGGTATGTCAAATGGCCAAAAGTTTGGATCACTAATCGGCATCGCTGATTTTGAACATGTATTAGCTTCTGCCAATGCACCAGCATCAAAATAAATATAAAAATATACACCTGGAGACCATACAGCTGTGGAATTTATAACAATACGATCACTTAAATAGAGAACGTTATTAATTGCAGTCATAGCATTCAATATATAAAAATCCACATTATCTGATGTTCGTTTGAATCGAATGTATGTTTCTGTTGTTGGACGTTGATAAACTCTTGTTCCAGTAAGCATAGTCCATGTTGATGTTGTTTTTGAGACTGTTCCCATTGGATATCGAGTAGCATTTAATCTGTATAATGGTTGAAGACTAGATGTTTCTGATGATACAGCAAAACGAAGACAAGTTGAATCTCCTTGATTTCCAATTGAGTCAACAGCAGAGAAACAAAAGAGATTTTGTCCTACTTGTTGAGCACTTGATGTAAAATTAGCAAGAAAAGCAAAGATGGTAGGATCAAATGGATCTTGCTCAATAGACGTTGTTAGCAAACCAGTTGGGTTAACGCTAATGATACTGTCAACAGTGGCATTAGTACATTGAACTTTGAAACGAATACGAGTAGTATAAGTGACACCTATTGAGAGATAAATACAAATATCTGGTACGAGATCACCTATATAGATTGGTCCAGTAGCACAAGGATATGAAGAACTGTAAACATGAAACACGAATTGAATAGGTATTTGCGAAAGATAACTAGTTGATGATATATTCGTCGGTAATATCATGAAATCCTCTACTGTCAACGCAGCTGCATAGTATCCCGTAATATTTGGTGTAAAGTTTAAATAACATCCATAATTATCAACAATACCACCAGGTACACTATTACTAAGTCCACCACATTGTGTAGAACCTTTACACCAAAGACAAATATATGGATCGTAATCATTATCAGCCACATTAATTTTGATAGAATAACTAACTTTATTTCTTAATCGATAGATCGGCAACATAGTAATAATAGGTGCATTGTTATACCATCCAGTATCAACTCTTTTATAGGTTTGAATTTGAACAGCAACACTCCATCCCAAATTGTTTCCTGTAACAAGATTAAACCAAGCCGAGTTATTAAACGTAGCTACAAAGCTAGAATTTCGTCGAATATTTGATGTAAAACGACCTTCACCCATTGCATATTGTTCACCAATATTATAACTAGTACAAGGAACTAGAACACTTCCAAGTGTTGTTAAACCTGTTGGACAACTACTCACACAAATAATATTATAACCACTAGCACCTAAAATAGGACTTCCATTTGCAATAGTTGTACTAGTACAGAGTGGAGTATAAGCGTCATATCGCCAGGCATGACGTTGAAGAATTTCTACAAGAACTGTTGCAGATGATTCATTGATCATACGCCAAGATATCATAGAACCACGAAAATGAGTTCCTTGTATAACATTAAACACACATAGCACAACGAATATTGTATAGATATCTTTATGATGCATACTTCTTGAAAAATATGAATAATAAATAATGTGAATCGAGTACCAAACGACTACAACTTACTGTATGAAACTAATTCAATTGGAAAAGAAAATGGTATTTTATTTAGTAGCAGCAAATAAAGAAACAATTGTAAACATAAACATGTAGGATTTCCATATGAGTTTCTATTGTTCTTGCAACAGAAAAATATATTATTTCTAATCCTGCTTTTTCTCTTACATATTTGTATATTCATCTAGGTTTTTTTTGCATAATATTTACACTTTATGACTGTCCTCTACTTGATAATGTTTGTTTAAGGTAAAGTCATTGATTTTAATCTATATGCAAATATCAAAAACTGAAGTAAACAACAATGATATTTTGCACTTAAAATATAGTTTATACTAATCAATGTCCATGAAACATGTCATGGATGTTTCATCAGTTCCTAAACAATTAAACATGTGATATGCCAAATTCCTTCGATGATTTAAGTTTCTCAATATTTTGACTGCTAAGTCTTCGAAAAAAAAAATAATTGACCACAGTGAATTTTTCTGGTCACAAATCCAATATTTTGATTAATATTCAAGAGAAAAAAATTTAAATA